ATTGTACAACCATGTGATGCGAAATGGGTACCTTATACATAGCACTGAAGAGCCGACACATCATCCATTCAACCATCTTCAGGCACCAGATGTCATCGATTTCGCGATATCTAAAAACTGCAGATACAGTATCTCTACGGAGGATAAGGTCGAGGTTTTCGCTGATGCCATGGAAAAACAGTTCTCTCCCAACTATGATCTCGATAATGACCTCGACGAGGAACAGCACATCGTACGATCCGTCAGGAGATATTTTAGGGCCAACGGCGTTAGCGGAGGCACTGAATCCTCTTCAGATGACTCTTCTTCAGAAGATTCGTCTGAGGCTCCACATAGCACATTAGCGGAACCCTCCGAGTTTCCACATTGCACACCAGCGGAGTTACTAAGTCATATTAAAGACCTCAAGGTGCGTAAAGCACCTGGGGAGGATCAAATCACCAACAAGGCGTTGAAGCTGCTCTCGCCGAAAGCCCTGACATATTTGGTGACAATAATCAATGCGACGCTCAAAATCCAGTACTTCCCTGCTGGGTGGAAGACTGCTGAGGTCATCATGATTCCAAAGAAGGTGGGTTTGATATTTCCTCAGGATTACCGTCCCATAAGTCTGCTGTCAGCTCCTTCTAAGTTCGCCGAAAAGGTGATTTATCGTCACCTTGAGAATTTTTCGTCAAATCACCATGTGATTCCTGACGTCCAATTCGGTTTTCGGTCCGAGCATAGCACCGAGCTACAGGCAGTCAGGCTGGTGAAGCATGTAACCAGAGGGTTCACCCTTAGCATGAGTACTGGCATCTTGCTTTTGGATGTCTCAAAAGCCTTTGACAAGGTGTGGCACGCGGGCCTCCTCTATAAACTAATCCAAAAGGGTTTTCCTTTTTGGCTTCTAAAATTACTGAAATCCTTTCTTGAAGGAAGGAAGTTTCGGATCAAAATTAACAATGTTTTGTCAACAACACGGCGAGTACGGGCCGGTGTTCCTCAGGGTTCGGTCCTAGGACTTCGCTTTTCATCCATGATGTCCCTTCCCCCAGCAACTGTGAAGTCTACCTCTATGCTGACGACACTGCACTTGTCGCCCAGTCGTGTACTGGTGATCTGGTTCACGATGGGTTGCAGAATGCGGTGGACGAAGTTCTAGAGTGGGCGGAACGGTGGCTGATAAAAATTAATCATTCGAAAACGCAGGCTATTTATTGTACCAAAAAACGTCGCGGCCCCCCAGCAGAGGTTTCTGTAGGCGGAAATCGTGTACCATGGAAAAATTCTGCCAAGTATCTCGGTGTCACCCTTGATAAAGTCATGACCTGGCAGAAACATACAGCATCCATAAAAACAAAATTCCATATTGCGTTTCGGCAACTATATCCTTTGTTATGTAGATCCTCCAAATTGAGTTTGATAAACAAAGTTCGACTATATAAAATGATTATTAGACCAGCCATTACTTATGCATGTGCGGCTTGGTGTTTTCTTGCCAAGACACGCATGCAAAGTCTTCAAGTACTGCAAAGCAGAACTTTGCGGACAATTTGCAAAGCTCCATGGTATGTCTCAAATGAGACACTACACAGAGACCTTGACATTCCTTACTTGAGGGATTATGTCAAGCTTCAGGCGCAGCGACGTTATAGTCAAGCGGAATCGCACAGCAACCCTCTGTTGCGTGACTCAGTGGACTACACAGTGGAGCAAGTTCGTAAACATTCAAGGCCACGGCTCGCACTGTAATCAAAAGTTAGCGTGAATCTTTAGTAAACTCAAAATTACACTCTAACAAAACCGAATCAAAAATTTGTTTAGTTCACCTCAAAATTAATCCGTGTACCAAGTCAAAAAGCCTAGGTGGTTCCTCTTAAACTAAGCATATCTGTTTTTCTTTGTTCTTCTCCTTTTTTCTTCTCTTTCCCTTTCTCTTTTTCCTTGACTTTGTCTGGTTTCTGGGCAACCAGGACTGACAGATTCGACTAACGTACATCAGACAGTGACAATGGGCAAAGGTCCTACGGACCGCCCAGACAAATAAATGACGAATAGTATACTCTTGGTAAGAACGTTTATATCTGAAATTTTGACACAGCCAGCATCGTGAAAAATTGTCAAGGAATTAGGTTACGATTGTCATCACTATGCCAAAGTAACATTACAAGCATACAATCAATACACGTAAAATAAAAAAGAAGTGAAACACTCAAATAAAAGATACCAAAGTTGAACAATAAAGAAAATTATAGAATGGAACAATACAATGTTACTGGAAAAGAAGAAACAGAAAAAGAGGTATATTGAACGTCTCTTGTACTGGAAGAAAAGGATATAATCATCAATAGATTTCTAGAACTGAGCAAGAAAATCGACACCCTTGAGGAAGCAAACCACAAATCAAAAGAAAGGTAAGACTATACTTTAGCGCATATCGCAAATCCTATGCCGATCCAGTGATGAATGAGAGTATATTTCGTGAATAGAAAAACCAGCAACATAAAAATCTATTAATCAAACCACTACATAACCAGACCCCAGATGGAATAAAGACAGATTTAAGCAGAAGTGATAACCACAAAAAATGGAAACATAGAAGTCAATCTATGTTAGATGAAAATAATTACAGTAAGCTAAATCATGAGTTTCAAACGAAGCTGTTTGAGAAATATGCATTAATTGAAGAAATAAAGTTAAAACCACGTTCATATACCTGTTGTGGCTATTATGGGTAACTGAAGTCAGCTATCCATATGCGCCAGTGTCACAAAAGGCAGAAATCTTTATAAAATAGGATTTGAAATCAAAAGAATATGAATTCTTTCACGTATTAGTGTAACCATCATCTAGTCTAATCTTATTAGCAAGTTTCCTCGGAATAATTGTAAGGTCTGATTTTATTGGTGCAAGTTGTTCAAGTGGGTATTTAAAACATGGACGCATAAAATGGGTACACCAATTTTTGTGGGAAAACTTTTTACTTGACAACAAATGAGAAAACGTGTTTTTTGGGATTCAAACGGAAGTGGTGACAGGAAAGAAAAAACTTTTTATATAAGATTTTTAGGTATTTATGAGATCTACAAAATGAGACCACACGTAAAAAGATCGGACTAATAGCAAAAATGTTATGGCCCAAAAACGAGGCAAAATGCAGGTTTTGGCACTTGTTGGTAATGCGACGATGGTTTCTCGCTTCTTCAAATTCGTAGGAATCGCACTTCAAAATAACAACAAAATTGGATTATATTTAGCAAGTAGTTTTTTGAGAATTTCAAATTGCTTATCCCGAAACACCTGTTTTCCGGTCATCACCTCTAGTTTATTGAGCAATATACAGGGTTCGTTCAAATAGCATTTAATAGCAAAATACACCTTGTCGAAGTGAATCACAAACCATTCCGAAAGGTGAATGTTATTTTTATGCGAAAAACAAAATTACATTTTTTTTTCTAAACAAATTCAGACATTTCGTATTTGTGAATAATTGAAAAAATGCGCTACGATATTCGAAAAAACATACGTTACTATACATATCTTAAAGCAAAGCGTATGTGTCTATCATCTTTTGTTGCGAAATACTCACAAATACGAAATGTTTGAATTTGTTTAGAAGAAAAAACGTAATCCATCCTTTTTTGCATAAGAATAACATTTATCTTCCGGAATGGTTTGCGATTCATATCGGCAAAGTAAACTAGTGTATTTTGCTATAATATGCTCTTTGAGCTAACCCTGTATATTGCTCAATAAACTAATAGTGATGAACGGAAAACAGGTGTTTTGGGGTAAGCAATTAGAAATTCTCAAAAACAGCTTGACCACTCTATTCCAATTTTGTTGTGGTTATTTAGAAGTACGAATTCTACGAATCTAAAGAATTTCGAATATCTGCGAGAAACCATCGTCGCATTACCAACAAGTGCCAAAACCTCGGCCATAACTTTTTTCTATTAGTCGGATCTTTTTACGAGTGGTTCATTTTATAGGTCTCATAAATACCTGAAAATCTTGTACCAAGAACTTTTCCGTTCCTGCCAACACTTTCGATTGAATCCCAAAATACACGGTTTCCTATTCTTTGTTGTCGAATAAAAAGTTTTCCCGCAAAAATTGGTGTACCCATCTTATGCGTCCATGTTTTGAATACCCCCTTGAACTTTCAGCAATAAAACCAGACAATTATTTCGCAAACCGGGGGTATTTTCGTCTAATATACTACTAATATACTAAACGGTACAATCACTACCATCAAGTGATAAATATATTTTGACAAGCTGCATACGATTCATGGCTTTTTTCAAAATGACACCGTCAATCTGTGATTAATGAAATGACTAATTGTGAACAAGCTGTCGATATCAAAGTGTTCTTCCTAGTATGAATGACTGTGAATACAGCATTATTGGGCACAGTGATACGTAGCTCAAAACCGAAGTAAAATCTAGTGAATTGTTTACATCGAAGGGATACTAACTTCATTTAGCTCTAAACAGTACAAGTTCAAAATTCCAAACTTCGTTGCATTATATGAGGATTTAATTTTAGAAAACATTGGCGTGGCCATGCAATTGACAGCTTCTATATTAACCCCTTATTGCATCCTGAGTCATATATGATACATACCAATATTAATATTTTTTTGAAGCTCTAGAATTTAAAGAGCGAATAACTGCATAGTGTCGCATATTTGGGACCGAGGAATAACCACGTTAAAATAATGCCGACGCTCCTCCGACAAAAAATATGACCTTGGAGCGGTTTGCAAGTTTACACTCGCACTTTTCGTGGTACAGTCGACATCTCCGATTTTATGAAGCATTTTTGTTGGGTGAAACGTAGGTTTTGGTGATAGAAAAAAATAGCTGTCCACAGTTTATTTGTTACTTGTGCGTTTCAAGGTAAGTTTAGGCAATAATTTCAATTTTTGCAGAGGTTACATACAAAAATTGTTTTGATTCATATATGGGACATCATGCGATTATAACGAGTGATAAGAGTCATCTTGATTCCAGATGGATCCAAAAATATTTTATGGAAGCAGTAAATATGTTACGAATGTACCGGAAAACAATGAAAGTGATGATCCCGATTTGTCAGACGATGAAGACACAAATAATCCAATAATTAATGATAATATATTAGCATTTGACAGCGACGACAACAGTGAGCCTGAAGGAGATTATGATGAGACAGTCATTTCTGAAACAGATGTAGAATCTGACGATAGTGAAAATATGACTCTACACGAAATTGCAGAGAAGATGAATCCAAGCGCCTGGAGAACTGGAAATCTCGTGAAAGATCCAAAGGATCTAGAATTTACAGGCAATATGAATATGCCTCCAGAAGTTACTGACTTAGAAACGCCATTACAATTCTTCAAGTTCTTCTTGACTAAGGAAATCATATCAGCAATAACTATCGAATCAAATTTATATTGCTCACAAAAGCGAATAAACCGTCCTTTGAACCTCACAGATGATGAATTAGAGCGGTTTATTGGCATATGTTTATATATGTCTATTATACAACTACCCCAAGCTAGAAACTATTGGTCGCCACATTTAGGTCATCATAAGGTATCAGCAGTTATGACATGTAACAGGTGGGAAGAAATCAAAAGATTTATTCATTTCAACAATAACGATAATTTCATACCTCGTGGTACACCTGGACATGATAAATTATTCAAAATAAGACCTTTTCTAGACAGTTTACAAGAAAGACTAAATAAAATTCCAGTTGAAGAGAACGTTGCGGTAGACGAACAAATTATTCCAACTAAAGCCAGATCAACAATAAAACAATACAATCCGAAAAAGCCACACAAGTGGGGCTATAAAGTATTTGTTTTGAGTGGAATCTCCGGCTTTAGTTACAGCTTCGACATTTTTGCTGGATCTCAGAGCAACGTAGTTCCTGTTGATGTCCCTGATTTAGGAACAAGCAGTAATGTGGTGCTAAAACTTGCCCAAAGAGTCCCTAAGCATATGAACCATAAAATATTTTTCGATAATTGGTTCACCAGTGTCCCACTTGTGGTTTACTTGAGCAAAAATGGCATTCTTCCTCTTGGTACTGCGCGCTTGAATCGAATTCCAGGTTGTAAAATGCTATCGGAAAAGGAATTCAAGAAACTTGGAAGAGGATCTTGGCAAGAAAAAACTGCTATCAAAGATGATGTGAAATTAAGTACTGTTTGCTGGTATGACAACAAAATTGTCACAACTCTGTCATCTTATGTCGGCTCGCAACCAATTGGAAGTAAGCAAAGGTTTTTTAGAAGCGAGAAATGCTACAAAGATGTGCAATGTCCGCAAACAATCCTAAAATATAATGAATACATGTGAGGCGTAGACCTATTGGATTCTATGCTTGGTTATTATCGCATCAAAATTAGATCCAAGAAATGGTATCTCCGCATTTTCTTTCATTTTATAGATATGTGCGTTGTGAATAGTTGGCTTTTATGGAGGACGCAGAACGAGTTTTATATGCCACTTGCAGATTTTAAGGTAGCTATTGCGGATGCTTTATGTATCAGTGGAAAATCTGTATTGAGTAGAAAACGTGGGCGACCTAGCGCCAATCTTGAACATGCTTATTTGGAAAAGACTAAACGTGGACCTGCGGCTGAAATTCCTCAAATTGAAGTAAGAAAGGACGGAATAGATCATTTGCCGGAATGGAGAGAAAATGAAAGAAATCGATGCAAACATCCAGACTGCAAATACCAATCATATATTTATTGTGTAAAATGTCAACTACCGCTCTGCCTAAATAAAGATAGAAATTGTTACCTAAGATTTCACACCGAGTAACTACATAAGACTGGTTGTTAGTGCATAGAGTCCCATATATGATACATACCCCTTTTTTGTAAATTTTTCAATAAAAACTTAATAAATATTTTTTTAATTATTTTTCATCTAACTTGTGCAGACTGATCTACCTCATATATTTTTTCCATTGAAAATAAAAAAATCATGCAATAAGGGGTTAAGCTATATGAAGTAGTTGATATCCTTGTACTAGTTTATAAAAGTTTAGTCGCAAATATGCTGTTTTGTATATACTCGTATAATGCTCCGAATCATGGGAGTAACTGTTCTGATCAATACCTAAAGTTCAAACTGAGTTAAAACATGAATGGAAACCTTTTTGGGCGTTCATGCATAAAAAATAGTAGTTATAGAAGACTTGGACGATTGTCTGATGGAACCTAAACGTTCAATGATCATAAAACACACATTCAAGTATTGTTTAATTTGATCTTGTATACTCCTGTTTTTCCTAATAAGCTTAAAATCCTTAATAAAATTATAAATCTGAGAGTGTGAACGTTAGGTACCCAATCACGTCAAAATGGCTGAACGGATGTGGATGAAATTTGATACAGAAATAAATTATAGTATGGAATAGCACCTAGGATACATTTTATCCCGCGAAATAACATTGAAATGGCTCAATCGAATTTGACGTGTATTTGGCGTGGAAACGCTGGTCCGACCGAAAATCCCCTCGCTTTCTCTTCTCACTCTAAATTTCCATTTCTCTACTTACTATACTTCGCTATATTTCTTAAGTTTAAAACATTATTAATTATCGATGTCTTAATAGCCATTTGTCTTACTATAGAATTGTTTAAGTGGTATATAAATAGGGTATTTCGACATTTGTTTGATGAATGTGATCGTCTTCATTCAGTTTAGCTTAAACAGATGTTAATCAATATCCAAACCAGGGTTTTGCAGTAACAGTAATATTTATTGACTCTAAAATACAGTGAATATGAAATGAATAAATAAATATAATTTAACCATAGACGTATACGGAAGGATTGTGCATGGGTCATATGTATGTCGAATTGCAATAGTAAAAATAACAAGAATACAGGGTGTTTCAGTTTATTGTTGCATAACTTTAAGATTCGATAGAACTATTAAAATTAATGCATAAAGTCTATATAAACATGGGTCGAAAAAGGTGTGGCTTCCGAAATACAGGGTGTTTAAATTTACTTTCTAAAATAGTTTTTTTTAAATATTTCGAACAATATTTGATACATAACAGTGAAAATTGGTATACAAGGGCTTTTTGGTACGACAAAATGAACCATGGGCATAGTTTTACTGTAGCCGCTAGAGGGCGCTCTCTACTGTACCTGTAGTGTATTAAAATGACCGAAAAAATTTTCTTAGTGCAATTTTTTGCTTTTTGAATAAAAAAATGATTCTTCGCATTTTTCAACATAAATATCTTGTGAATTTTCGTTATAGTTAGCCGTTTTTGAGATATTTCGATTTTTAAGGCTCGATGCATTTTTAATTATTTATGATAAAATAACGTTAAAAAGTCAGTAGCTCGATAATTTTTAGAAGTAGGCTGTGCCTGCAAATATTTTTGAAATTGAAAGCAGAAGCAGGTTAAACGTCAATTAGTTGACAGTTAGTTTTGTTGTCTGTTGAAACCTGAAACGTTTTTCTGCAATTGTGAATGCACGAAATTTAGTTTCTTTTACCTTTTTTGTAAGTTTTATAAAAATGCCATTTTTATTCTCCAATCAAGAGTTAGCGGATATTCATTTTGTATATGGCTTTGTAAATGGAAACGCAGCAGAAGCAGCCAGAGAATACGCACGAAGATTTCCAAACAGACGACATCCAACTCACTCAGTATTTGTAAGAGTGTATCGCCAAATAATTGAAAATGGTTTTGGAAATCTCCAAAGGTATCAAAACATAAATGTTCGTCACCGCAGATTTACCCGTATGATTCTGCGTGAGTTTGATAGAGATCCGACCACAAGTGTTAGGAGAGTTTCTGGTGCCTTGGGAATTTCAGCAAGCTATGTTCACCGTGTTCTTAGAAATGACCATAGACGTCCTTACCATTTGCAACCTGTGCAAGGACTACAGCCAGGGGACGGAGAACGAAGAATCACATTTTGTTAGTGGATTCTTGATAGAACTGATAATAATGAGTTTTTAAGTAACGTTTTATGGACCGATGAGTCATGCTTCACTAGACGTGGAGTGGTAAATTTTCATAATCAACATATTTGGTCGCATGAAAATCCGCATGCAGTTCGGGAAAGAAATTTTCAGCATGAATTTAGTGTGAACGTGTGGTTTGGTATCTACCGTAATCGACTAGTTGGACCCTACCTTTTGCCTGCAAGGTTAAATGCTGCGACCTTCTTGGAATTTTTAAAGGCTGAACATGCAAATATGTGGTATGATGTTATGTTAGATTTAAAAAGATTGGCCTGGTTCCAGCTTGATGGTTGTCCAGCTCATTATTCGAGAATAGTTAGAAACTGGCTGGACGAAAATTATCCAGAAAGATGGATCGGCCGTGGAGGACCAGTCGCCTGGCCCCTGACCTAAATCCATTAGATTTCCTTGTGTGGGGATTTCTAAAGGAAAAAGTGTACCAGACTCCCGTAACCACAAGAGATAAGCTAATAGACAGAATCAGGAATGCATGTGATGAAATAAGGCCTTATTTGAATAATGCTATACCACGTTCGATCATTCGTAGATGTGAATTGTGTATTGAACAATTGGGTTTACATTTCGAGCAACTACTTTAGATTTTGTATGTTTGTTCTAACTATCCAATAGCATTTTAGTTGTAAATAATTAATTTAATTTGTTAAAAATAATATTGGAAAATTTAACAAATTAATATTCTGTTTTTTTGTGTTTATTTGGAGTTAGGAATTATTGCTGTGTTTAAAAACACAATCTAAACGATCATCTTAATTACTTGTAATGCCCAAATCGAAAATGTAAAAAAAATATTATTTTCCATAAATAATTAAAAATGCATCGAACCATAAAAATCGAAATATCTCAAAAACGGCTAACTATAACGAAAACTTACAGGAGAGCTTTTTTATGTTGAAAAGCGCGAAGAATTAGTTTTTTTATTCAAAAAGCAAAAAATTGTACTAAGAAAAAATTTTCGGTCATTTTAATACACTACAGGTACAGTAGAGAGCGCCCTCTAGCGGCTAGAGTAAAACTATGCCCATGGTTCGTTTTGTCGTACCAAAAAACCTTTGTATACCAATTTTCACTTTCATACATCAAATATTGTTCGAAACATTTAAAAAAAACTATTTTAGAAAGTAAATTTAAACACCCTGTATTTCGGAAGCCACGCATTTTTCGACCCATGTTTATATAGTCTTTATGCATTAATTTTAAAAGTTCTATCGAATCTTAAAGTTATGCAACAATAAACTGAAACACCCTGTAGAGAGAAAAAAGCATGATTATTTGTAAGAATGATAGTGTTTATTGTGTTAGTATCTTACATTATCCTATTAATGTTATTACTCTCAAGCGTGTCAACCATTTTTTAATTTTTTTTGTGAAACTCAATGTATTCCCTAATTGTTTCAAAGTATTTAGTAAATGTTCATACAGTTTTGGAGCTAAATACAGGTGAGATCTTTTCATTAAAGATTCGTTTGATTTAGGGACTTTTTTTCAGGTTTGCAATGTTTCGCTTTCACTAATAATTTTGTAATAATGGGTGATGTATGTAAGAAGTAAAATTGTTTAGTATCATATACTTGTGCATCATTATACAAGTCATCAGTTTCGTATAATTTTGATTTACCGAACATTGATTTAAAAATGGTTCTTTGAAGTACGTCTAAATCGTTAAGCTACGTCGTGCATGCAGCACCCCTAACTACTACACATTAAAAGCTTGATATATATTTCGTAGATAATATTCATTTAACATACCAGTTAGAAATTTTATTTTATATGCTATGAATCTAATTTTTTGAACATTTTGTATAATTGACTTGATTTTTATCATTTACCTTAAAGAGAAGGTGGTTATAACTTGATAGATGATTAGATAGTGATGTAAATGGTAAAACATGAGTTTTAGCAAAGTTTGTTGTTAATTTTCGGCTATTAAACCATTGAATGATTTTACAAACGTCATTTTGGATAACATCTCTCAAATCGTTCCAATACTTACCTTTATAGAGTATAGCGGTGTCGTCCGCAAAACTAACTATTTTACCAGTACGATTAATTTTGAATTGTAAATAGAGGACCTAAAATTGTACCTTGTGGTACACCACATTTAACAAACATTTATTTACTATATGAATTTAATAATTTTACTAACTGTACTAATTTTACATTAAAGTATCTATCTTTCCACAAAAACCTATTCTTTCTAAAATTTACAAATTGTGGTTAACAGTGTCAAACGCTTTTTGTAAATCGACAAATACACATATAGATGGTACCTCTTCATCCATATTTAATTTCATCTGTTGTACTTTATCTGCTATAAAATCGTATTGATTATTTTT